ACAAACAAACAAACAAACAGACCTTCCTAGTGCCAGGTTGCCATCATTCCATCTCATCAGTGCCCAGAGGTCGTTGACCTCATCAGGAGAAGGTTTGGTGTTGGGACCGTACACCTTGCCGACACTAACAGTAACAAAAATCTCTTCATTGACAGTACAAAAAAAAGATCCACATCAACTTTCAAAAGGCCTTCTAAAACTATACCTACAGACAAACAAATGGATATAATTGGACTTACATTCATACAAGTGGATACAAATGTCACAAATGAGCTACCATACATTCACATGGATGAATGAATGTATAAGTTATACTACTGGTTATGAGGTCTAAATTTCTTTGATATATTTAGTATACCTTTTTTGTACTCATTAAAAGTTATATATGACCATCACATGACCGCATTGCCTTTTACAATGACAACTAATCATTTTTGTGTTTTACAGTTATTTGTTGAGACTTTGTCTATATCATTTGCTGAGCCACAATGTATGAGCTACTGTACTAACCCTCCTCTAAAAGTGTAGAAGTTGCCCAATCTGGATAAGTAGGGTCCCAGTGAAGTTGTGAGAAGCTGAAATTGAATGCATTTCCCCAAAATAAGTAATTCTGCAGAATCAAAATACACAAAGAATAGATTGAAAATTTCTATGCACAAGTAGCTAGATAAAATGTGTTGTTGTTATTATGTTAGACCCCTTCAAAATGATGCTTTGCTTTGTTCTTTCTAAGACCCAATAAAAAACACAATAGAGCTAACAGATCAAATTGAATGCTGAGTAGAAATAAGGATTACAAAATACATACATATTGGCCCCACTGAAAGGTGATGGTCTCAGGAAGAAAACCTGAAACAAAACATTAATTTAAAAATCTCAATCCAATCTTGTCTCCTGGTCTCTGAATGAATTATAATGTGGATATGTCTATCTGCATGTCACATGTTTAAATACATAATCTGTACATAAAAATGTGGGCAAAAAAACAAACCCCCAAGTATCAGTTTTGCATGGCTACCAGAAATCAACTAACCTTCATGAAGCAGACCAGATTCCTATTACAGTTAGTAGAACTGTTAGATATTCTCAACACCACCATATGTGTATTTTAACACCACAAACTATGTATGTATCATTTTGCCATACGTTGTACCTGCTACATCTGTTGCGCAATAAAGTTCTTCTTCTTCTGTCATATATCCACTGGGTTACATACAATACATATCCACTACTTTGATAAACAGTGTGTCTGAGAAATCTCTAGTCCAGCACCCTCCCAGATAGGTTAATTATGCAGGTCCTGGAGTGCATTTTACAGGGTATGTTGAGTTGGAGGTCTTTTTGGATGCATATTTTCTGGGTGGCAGATATTTGTGACCTAGCAGAACTATAATATAGTTATGTTTTTTCAAATCACATTTTAAATGAATAACTTCCACCACAGCTGGTAGACTCTGTAGAAGGCTTATAGAACTGGGGGTTTGGTGGTCTTCGGCTGTTTTCTGATTGGCTCAAAAAACGGGGGTAATTCAACCAGGCCGGCTATGTTGTCTATATGCAATCAGAAAATAGCACATAAAGGCTGCTGAAGACCCTGAAGACCCCCAGTTTTTGGCATGCTATGGGGGCCAGACAGCTGGCAGTTCTCACCTCCATTCATCAGACAGACGCTCCTGATCTGCAGGTGAGCGGCGTCTTTCTCAGGCGACTTTTGGCGGTCAAGAAACCTCCTGAGGAGCTCCAGGGCTACGGTGTCTCCGTAGTCGTGTGACAAGACGTGTACCTCCTTAACTTCCAGCGTCTCAAGTAACCTCTCCAGGATGGAGGCCTGCTCAAAGATGCTGTAGTTGTGGTCTAACTGGAATATGAAGTATACCATATTAGTTAGATCTAACCGGCTAAGATGGTATGGCCACCTCCAAAAATGGGCAGTGACAAATGGCCTAGAAAGGAATGGAAAATGTAAGGGAGGGCTTCCTAAACCTGAACCTACATACCCGGTATGTTAAACCAAAGGATAGAGGCAAGTGAAACGCTGCCATCAAGCAATTAAGCCACAGTATTGCTGTGCAAGCACGTCCAACCCTTGGAGGTCGGGGAACAACATATGCTAAACCAGATAGTGAGTGAGAGAGTGACTCAGTCTACTGGAGTCAAAAATACCAAATCAGCCTCTATTTTGGTAACATGGATTGTTTGTTTGTTAGTTACTTTTAGCCTTTACTTATTCATGAAAATTCAAATTAGCCAGCTACCCACTTTTTATTGAAGTCATGAGGGAAGAGGTCTGGCTCAGACAAAATATGATGTGGTGTCTTTTGTGAGACAATAGTTTGTAGAGTGAGTCTTGTCCATGTTTTGTAGATTAAGTGTTTTGTACTTACTGGTTTGTCACTGAATCCAAAGCCCAGTAAATCTGAGGCGATGATGCGGCCAAATCTTCCCTGCAGTCCTCCCCACACCTGTGGCAAAAACAGAAAGAAGTGTCTTTTAAATTTGAACTGCTGATGCTTTAATTATTGATATTTCAACAGTTACTGCCATTTCAATTGTCCATGCTTCTGAAAAAGACTTTTCCATAGGACAAGTGGTGTAGTAACATTAACCTTACATTGATCAAGGCTCTCTGATGCTCCCCTCTTCACCGAACACAGTTGGGGCTGATAATCATCACTAGAAAGCTTTGATTATAGTCCAGCAGCATAGCAAACAACTCCTGCACTTAGATGTGCAAAGATTAGGTGTAAGAGGTCGTTTGGTGTAATATAGCTAGCTGATGCCGCATCGCGTGCCTGCGAAGCTGGTGTATTGCGGATATACAGCCGGTTTTACTGGCTGTACTGAATACAGATACTGTATAATTTCAAAACTAACCATGGTCATGTACAATGTATGTAATACTATGCAGTTGGTAAGAATATCTGTCCAGAATTAACACACCTTGATCCAGTCATGGCTGGAAGAAGGAAATCCGTGGATGCAGAGAACAACTTCACCAGATCCTCCCTTTCCAGCCTCATCTGTAGCACAAAATGAACCATAACTTTGATGATTTTCTAACAAAATGATGATGCATACACTTTTCAGACAAATCAACATAGTATTACATAATCTGCAATTTGATGCCACAGAGTCACGTCTTAAACCCTCGGAAGACGGGGAACAACAGACGATAAACCGGACAGTGAGTGCGTGAGTGAGTGAGAGTCAATAAGAGAACTAAATATGGAACTTCAGTAAGAAGACAGTTCTACTAAAACCCTTTGCTCCAATGCATGGGGTCAATGACTTTATGGTCATATTGCCATGGGGTTAATGACCTTATGGTCACAAATACCTCAAGAACAAAATCAGATACCCCAAAACTGTAATTACAAATTCACAACTAGATAGTAATATTAGCGGTTGCTAATATAGACAGGTTTGCGTTGTACATAGTCATTGTAGTGTAACTTACAATGTTTTTTGTGTGTGCTTTACCTTTTACAGGGTTCCTTCTCATCCTTTTCTAATCCCCACTTACCTTGTAAACAATTTCGTCATCAATATACTAACAAAAGAACAATAGTTACACCCAAAACAAAATTTCACTTCTTTATGACTTCTCTATGCCCCATGACCTTTAACCTTTTGAGGGTCATGCAGGCGTCAACAGCGCCCTCCCCACGCCTTGCCCACCTACCTACCGAACTACCTACCTACCTACCGAACTACCTACCTACCTACCCTCGCAAATGCAAGGTGATGTTTCTGCACTTCTCAAAAACTGTGCCACCACTACCCTCACTAAAGGTCTCATTCCGGTATTCTTCCGCGTGGGTACTCTCAAGTAGATCGTACTAAAAATTAAATGCGTGTATGGATGTGTGTTTATATCCGCCAGAAATTGCATTTTAGCTAAGTCAGTTGGCGTAAATCGCTTGTGATATGAGAGGTTGTTTGTATGTGCTAAAATTAGTGGGTAAGTGTTGACATCCGCGCGACAGGTCGGATGTTTACACGCTGTTGTGATGGGTAATGCGGTCAGGAGGTAGCAGCGCTGGAGGACCTCTGGCGGAGAGTGGCCAAGTGCAGTTTATAAATAAATAAAAAGAGATTGTTGGGTTAGATCTGGTTGGGAATTTTTTGACGTAATGTAGGGCCATTGTGACTCAAAATTGATTGGATAGACTAGATGGCTGTCATTCAAATTATTGGGTTTTGGCCTATGTAAAGTTACGTATTTTGCCATAGGCGGCTATAGTTAACAAAAACTCACGAATGGGACCTTAAAATTGACAACTACCCCTAGTACAAGTTCAAGTAGCTAAACTCCTGGGGCTCCATATACAAGCTGACCTAAAATGAAACACCCAGGTGGACCACATGGCCAAGAAAGGAAGCCAGAGGTCTTTTCTTCTTAGAAGACTCAAATCTTTCGGAGTTACTAGAGAAGATCTTGTTACCATATATACAAGTTTTGTCCGACCCACTTGTGAGTACGCTGTC